AAAAACACCATGACAGGTAAAACCTGACATGTATGTATAATGGGAAGACTGTGGAAAATTATGACAAAAGGAGCTCATTAAACAGCTAGTACTTTTAGATTGGCTAATTTCAAATGCTGAGCCACAATTTCTGAGTGGCGTACACCAAACTTAAAAAAACATACCATTCGGGGAAAGCCTGGTTTGCCTGACGTCCATTCTCAATAGGTTTGTCTGGAGAAGGAAGCAGGGAGAGAACAGGGAATACCACAACACGCACCACAACACGGGGGTGAGGTCACAGGGGTCTTAGGGAGGAAGTTGAAAGCCGTGAAAGGAATGTTTAAAGAGGTAAGAGACATGTCTGGGAATAGGGATCTATCGGGGGGGCAGGAGCTGCTGGAAAGGGAAAGCAGCAAAGAACTGGAGAGAGAGCACAGGAAACCTAATCCCAGTGCTTTGCATTTATAAAGAAATCTCTGCTCAGGATGTCTGAGAGGGAGACTTGTCTATTGACCACTGCACAGAGCTGGGTACGAGGAGATCTGCATTCGGTTAACAGCAAGGCATTCCTTCTGACTTACTGCGTGAGCTTGGGCAAGTCACCTCACATCTCTGTGCCTTACTTTCATCATCCGTAAATTGGGGATAATGATACTTACCTCACATGCATGCCACAAGACTTAACGTTGTAAAGACACTACACAAGCACAAAGCATTATAATATTCTTGTCTCAAAGCCTATACATACAACCTAATGAATTAAGTTTTATAACACAACTGTGAAGGAGAGTAGATGTCATCACAATCCTCCTACTGATGGGAAGACAGATAATACAGAGGGGGTAAGGGCAATTTTTTTCAAAAATGTCCAAGTGAATTAGGAGCCTACGTCCCATTTCCAAAAAAAGACTTGGAAGCCAAGTCTCACTGAAAGACAGTGTAGGCTTCTATGTGTAACCTCCTGGGTGTGGTGTTCTGTCCCATCTAGTGGTGACGAGAGAGAAAGAGAGATTAATGAGTCTGCTCTACAGCCTTAGCTAACAGGCATATGGCTTTTAGCTCATGCAATAGAGGCTCATGCACTAAGCTCCAGAAATCCTAAGTTCGATCCCGCCCACCAACGACGGGGGTCTGTCTGTGTTACATATGTATTGACATCACTTTTGAAAACTGGATTAGGCTTCTAAATCGCGTAGTGTTACCTTAAGTAACTTGAATAAGGTCACACATTGTTCCCTGAGGCAAAGCTGTGAACAAAAATAGGGTTTTGATTCTCAATCCCCTGTTCCAACAATTGTTGCCTTCCGGATCAATAACCACATGAGATAAAAATACTTGGGTTGGAAATGGACTCTTGTCTATATTGCCCAGTCCATCCATTTGAGCTCAGGTGAAATCTGCTGCATTTTTATGGAAGACTGTTTATACAAGAAGAGGGAATTCACAATCCCAAATCGCTATTAGAAACTAGAGAAAGCTTTCCCCTTAGTTCAGCCTTTAAGAAATTAATTGAAGCAAGATATACTAATAAAGAAAGTGTCCTTGTATGTCTAAATCAGGCAGAGGTAGCTGGGTAATTTGAGCACAAATTGAATTTTATGTAATAGGGACAGCTATAAATTGACAAAATCATGGCAAGCATCTCAATGACAAAGCATCTTGCATGCAGAAGGATGAGTAATAAAACCAGATGTGTAGGGGAATATTACACAGATTTTAATAGCTGCTTCGGTTTTTTATTTTATAAACCAAGAGAAAGGTGAAACACTTATTTCTTAGTTAATGTCTCCATTTTCTTTTTCTTTTCCATTTTATATTAAAGAGCATACTGACACTGTGTTTTTCAGGTCCAATTATTTTGAATTTTGAATTCCACATACAGAATGGGAAGAGACTGTCTAGGAAGGAGTACGGCAGAAAGGGATCTAGGGATTATAGTGGACCACAAGCTAAATATGAGTCAACAGTGTGATGCTGTTGCAAAAAAAGCAAACGTGATTCTGGGATGTATTAACAGGTGTGTTGTGAGCAAGACACGAGAAGTCATTCTTCCGCTCTACTCTGCTCTGGTTAGGCCTCAGCTGGAGTATTGTGTCCAGTTCTGGGCACCGCATTTCAAGAAAGATGTGGAGAAATTGGAAAGGGTCCAGAGAAGAGCAACAAGAATGATTAAAGGTCTTGAGAACATGACCTATGAAGGAAGGCTGAAAGAATTGGGTTTGTTTAGTTTGGAAAAGAGAAGACTGAGAGGGGACATGATAGCAGTTTTCAGGTATCTAAAAGGGTGTCATAAGGAGGAGGGAGAAAACTTGTTCACCTTAGCCTCTGAGGATAGAACAAGAAGCAATGGGCTTAAACTGCAGCAAGGGAGGTCTAGGTTGGACATTAGGAAAAAGTTCCTAACTGTCAGGGTGGTTAAACACTGGAATAGATTGCCTAGGGAGGTTGTGGAATCTCCATCTCTGGAGATATTTAAGAGTAGGTTAGATAAGTGTCTATCAGGGATGGTCTAGATGGTATTTGGTCCTGCCATGCGGGCAGGGGACTGGACTCGATGACCTCTCGAGGTCCCTTCCAGTCCTAGAATCTATGAATCTATGAATCTATGAATTTTGCTGAGAAGGGGCCAAAATGAAAGTTAATAACAAACTTCATGGAGTTGAGAGCTGCAATATGTCATTATGGGCTGACATTGGAGCCCAACATCTTAACAAAATCATCCTCTTTACCAGGGCGGTCTTACTGTACAAGCTTTTGCAAAAACTTTAGCGAGAATACTGTACCGTCTTTCATACTGCATGAACCCTAAGCAGAGTCCAATATACAAAGTCAGTCTGAAATGTCATCAAGCCCCCCCCATCACAAAAACCCCAAAACATTTTTTTTTTCTAATTAGAAACTTACACAGAAAATTCTAACACTGGACTCTGAGGCGTTTATAACTATTCCATGCCCACAACGATCTTAATTAAGTATGCAACAAGAATTGTTTTACTATAATTAGCCTAGCAACATGAGGATCTCCCGTAGTGGATTATTACAAACTATTTAGAGAGGGCTTTATTTCTTTGTTTGATTGTGTGTGATAACCTAGCTCCCTCCATTCTCTTCGCTTCCCATCTTGCTCTTTGTGGTCAGCCCAAGCTGTACCGTGTACATTTTTGTACTGCACTCTCTTGCCCCTGGACATTTTTCCATGCTTACCCTTAGAATCCCTTTCCTGACCTTTCATCTTTGTTCCTCTGCACTCTTCTGCAAATCCTTCCTCAAAACACACTTTCCCCATGAAGCCTACTAGTCTAAATTGCCTCTCAACTTACCTTTATGCATAAAACACAAAACCAGCCCAAACCTGTACAACCCTCAAGATGCATGCCTCACTAACCTCAGCCAGTGCATAATGTCATCACTAAAGCCCCTGTCCTTCCACTCCCCTTACTGTTTGTCACTAGCCCTTTTTATATTAGGGTAAGGCTATGGGGTCAATTCTCCACTGCCTTGCACTGTGTGCATCTATGGAGAGTGAAAGCAAAATGGTAACAGTCTGATCGGGTAGCAATTGACACCCACTTTACACAAGTGCAAAAACCCTCACAAGGAACAAGGCAAAGGAGGGTCGACCCAGCAGTCTTTATTAGTCTGTAACATGCTATACACTTACTACATGGTGGAAATTACACATAGTAACGGTGGGAGGAAAACCTCCCTGTGCTGATTATGACTTGTAATGACCACGAAAGCAACATGCCAAATACAGCAAAGATTCTGTCAATTGGGAGATTTGTTGAATGAGGTCCCTTTTTCCAGTCACCTGAGCTTGGACTATTTCCTTCCGGAGCTGCTCACTGTTGTTCAGACCTATGGCAATTACCTATATCTCTGCACTGCAATTGTACAGAGGTTACAATATGATGTTACTAAAGAAGCTGGATTTATTAAAAATGATTGCTTTCCTGTGCCACGTGTTAAGTGGGATTTTTATATAGCTTTTTTCAGTTTACAGAACTGTAATTTTTATGCAAGTTCCTGATGTTTGATCACTGTCTAATTTGAAGCTTCTTATGCACTCTTTCCACATCAGCATATTGTATTTGCCTGGGGGTGGTTCTGAGAGGCTGCAGATGTTGCAGCAAGCCCCCAAGAATTCTGACTCCTTCTGTCTGTTTCTAATGCTCCTCTCCTCACTTCCAACCCAGCTGGCCCCTACGTTCACAGTTGTCCTTAACTAATTTAATAAATCTTTATACAATGTACAGTTTTATTTTAAGTATGGGGGAAGGAAATACAACCCACATCCACTCAGGGCTTGTCTTCACTACCTGCCCGGATCGTCGGGTAGAAATCGATCTCTTGGGGATCGATTTATTGCGTCTCGTCGGGACGCGATAATCGATCCCCGAATTGACGCGCGTATTCCACCAGCCCAGGTAGGAGTAAGTGCCGTCGACGGGGGAGCCACGGCAGTCGATTTGCCGCCATCCTCACAGCAGGGTAAGTCGGATCAGATACGTCGAATTCAGCTACGCTATTCCCGTAGCTGAATTTGCATATCTGAAATTGATCCCCCCCATAGTGGAGATGTAGCCTCAGTGTGGTGCTCTGTCCCCCTCTAGTGGGGGTTGGTCAGATACAGAGATTGATGAGCCTACCAGAACTAGCTCTTTCAGCTCAAGCTGCAGAGGTTTATACATTAAGATCCAGAGGTCAGGTTCAATTCCCATTACTGACATTTACTGAAAGATTTCACGTTATAAGTGGTTAGAAGGGGGAACGTGAATAAAAGAGGTCAGGAAGGAGGAGGTTGTAGGTATCTGATACGTACAATAAATACGTACATATTAAGGGGCCCTAACTGAATGGTTCAGCCAGGTTCCCCAGTGGGATTGAACCAGTACTAGTATCGCACAACATTGAAAATCATCATGCTAGAAGGAACCATACACTCCAGAGAATTATGAGAGTCAAAGCAGCTGTACCACATACCATCTCTACCGTGTATAAACAGGGAAGATACTTACACTTACAGGTTGACTTTTTGGCACATCATAAACACCTTCCTTCTTTTGGCTCGTCGGAACCTGTGACAGTAAATCAAACGCACAATCATCATCGAGGTAGGAGTCTGGAAAATTTGAAAGTTGTAGCTAAGAACACTGTATTTTACGAAAGAATTAAGTCGTTCTATGTGACTGAAATCAAGAATGACCCCTTTTAATATAGGGAATGTCTTTCAGTGGAGATGACCATGAGTGGCAAAACTTGGATCTGGTTTCGAACACCAAAGTGGTCGTTCAGATCTGGGGGTTTCATTCAGCTCATTATAGAGTTAAAATTGTGTCTGGGTATGAACTTCCATGAAGTTAAGATGCTTTTGCATCCCTCTTCTACATAAGTGTTTGCTTTTTTCTAGGAGGGGTTGGGGGGAAGGTAAAATGGGAGTCATGTTTGGGCCATGGCTCCATTTTCTCCTCAGATGAGCTCCTTTAATGAAGCTATCAGTTTGGCCAGCAGCAATATTAATTTCCTTGCCTCACCTAATTAATTATTGTTAATCAGAACAAACAACAACTAGTCTTGGAAGGGTTAAATTTTGATCAGTAAAGGCTGTTTTCATCATACACACATGACCCAAGGAAAAAATATTTCCATTGATGATTGAAATTTACGAATAGGCAAAGTAAGAAAAATGCTGCTTGAGAACTTATTGGCATTTGACTTAAGGATATTTACTTTTTATATTTTGACGTGTTGTTGACAATTTGTGTTTTAATGGTGATAAAGCTTTAAGTTTTTGAATCTCCGAGTCTAACTGTCATTAAATAATTATTGTCCGACCCTCACACAATTTCCTGAAACTGAAAATTTAAATAGAAAAAAATGTTTAAAAACCAACATGGATATTATATGTCAAAATAAAAAAAAAAAAATCAAATTTTGCCAAGCCTAGTAAACACGCATATTTCTGGGGTGGGGCTAATCACAGGCCGCTATATAATGTCTGACCTAGCATTCTGCAATTCTTGATAAGGGGGGAAATGTCCTTTCAGAGTCTGGGGCAGCATCTACAGAAGCATAACGAGGGAATTGAAGTCATCAGCCCTTCTCGTGGGGACAGGCTGTTGTACTTTAGTAAGTTTGGGCCCAACTCTCATCCTAGGCTTGATGGAGTTCACCTACAGTATGAGTGATAAGGGGATCGGGTGCTACCCACTTATAAAGTAAATCCAAGAGAGTTATGATTTTTATGATCAGTTAGGATTTTTTAAATTTGAGATTGTTTTTTCCTGCTAAAAAACATTGAAAGCCTGTTGTAAATGGGAAATACCAAGCTTAACAGTGAAACAAATGTCCGGTACATATAATATACCAGTATCACCTTTATATTGACTATCCTAGTTCTTTGGAAGAAGGTTACATTTTAGAAGTCAATGAGCTTTACCAGTTAAACTAATCCTCGCAAATGTAATAAAACATCTTGTAAATCTTTAAATAAATCTATTTTTGCCCATATAAGCATGACAGAGATTATACAGTAGGTCAAGTCCACAATCTTACCATAAATTTATCAGAAGTTACCTATCCAGTGATATATGGCACAACCTCCAAATTAGTCCAAGAGGATGTCAGTCCCAACCATTCATACTTTCACAAGGCTCACATTTTATTATGACAGTCTCATTTTTCAAGGAACACTATGCATTTTAATTAAGAAAATATAGAGGAAATAATCAAAAATACCCAAGAGATTTAAGAGCAAAGTCCCATTGAAAGAGAATGGGATATGTTCTCCTAAACCTTTCAGGTGCTTTTTATTCCTATTTCAAGAATTCTCCTATTCCTATTTCAAGAATGACCAGTGATAAGAATTTCCCATAGTGCTCTTACAGTGCCCTCTAGTCCACTAAAAAATCCATCACATTAGATGTGTGAAGTTAGTAATAGTGGAAAAATTCAATTTAAGTGAATCAACCGTCTACCCACTGGCAGACTGCTATGTTGCACTGTAAGATCAGGAACCAAGAATTTTTATTTAACAAGTTGCTTGGAGTTCTGTTATTCCTTGAGAGAGGTACAAACAGTACCTGAGAAACTGCTGTATCTTTACTAGGATATTTTTATTTAATGTAAACCAGTGCTGCCCATCACACTCTCTTATTTTCCTTTCTTCTGGAACAAGGTGGATTCCATTTAAATACTCCCATCCAGGAATCATTAAGAGTCTTTGACACCTAGCCAGAAGGCTCCTAATCATAATATATTTCAATGAAAAAGAACATGATATAACTTTGTGGCCACATCCTACTGAGTGAGGCACCCCTGGAAGTTAGATGTTTTAGCAAACCACAGCGGATCCTGCTGCAGGACTGTAGAAGATTAAATCAGACCTTCTTGCTTCCCCCCTTTCTATCTCACACTTGAGAGCGGCATTACCCTACCGTTTAATGAGGTTCACAACCATGGGGTGACATTTAGACTCTTCAGTATCTATCTTATCCCACGTCCAAGCTCTCGTTAAGTTTTGTGACTCTTCCCTTCAGAACTTCTCTACAATTCGTCCTCTCCTCTCTCCCCCTACTGCCAAAAGAGTGATCCACACCTTGTTTATTGCCACAAGTACTACTGCCTCCTCCTTTCTGCCCTCCCTTACTCACCTTCTCCTCCTAGCCATAACCCTGAAGCTTACAATCTTTTGCCTTCTATCAAAGTGAAGGCCATGTCTCCTTCGGCATCAAAGTTCAGACTTGCTCTATTCTGATTGAACTGCACCAGCCTACAGCTCAGCTCTCACGTATGCCCCACTCATGCAGGAAAATGTTCACTAACCATTTGGAATACAATTTTGATTCAAATTACTGACAAAAAATTTTAAAGAGGTCGTTTTCCCTCAGAAAATCTTTTCATGGGAAAAATTTCAAAGAACTCTACTCAAGACTCTGGGCCTTTCTTCACACTGCCCCTAATACCTGGAACAGTCTCCTCCTCCCTCCTAGTCACTCTCTCTCTTTTTCTCCTAATCACTCTGAACATTTATTATACTGAGCATGTTTTCCAACACTAATCGATTCTGGCAGGGTCACTTTCCTGCTATCCAAACCCTCTTTCCAATGTGAGTATATGAAATAATGACTATCACATGAATCACAACATAACCACTGATCTGAGCTCCTGTAGAGAATATTGCCCATAAATCATCACGTTTTCCCTTTCCCCTCCCCTATCACCATATTCTGCTGTATGCCTATTGTTGCTTAGGCCTTGTCTACACTAAAGGGAAAAGTCGATCTAAGCTACGCAATTTGAATTACATGAATAGTGTAACTCAAATCCATGCAGCTTAGATCTACTTACCGCGGGGTCCACATTACGTGACATCGATGGGAGACGCTCTCCCTTCGACTCCCCTTACTCTTCTCGAGCAGGTGAAATACAGGCGTTGATGGGAGAGTGATCGGTGGTCGATTTAGTGGGTCTTCACTGGACCCGCTAAATCGACCGCCGATGCATCGACCGCCGCAGTGTCAATCCTCCAGTAAGTGTAGATAAGCCCTTACACTGCAGGCTCCTAGGAGTACAGACCTTGCCTTCGCCTTTGGCTGTAAAGTATCATAAAAACCAGTGATACTATATAAATAATGTAAAATTAATTAATAAAGGCCCCGGTCCATAAAAATGGTGGCACTAACATAAAACCAGCTGTCAGGTAAGGAAATGTGATGAAAAGTCCGGTACAGAAAGGACTGCTGCATGTTTGGTGGTCAAATCCCACAGTAACTAGTGCATTAGAAATACATGGGTAGATTAGATTAAATACACAGCAAAAGCATGCACATACACACACGCACACATTTCGGGGTAATGAGTCAAAGAAAGAAATGAACAGAAAAACCATGCCTAATAAGAGAAAATGCAACTCAGTGATATTAAATAGTGGAATGTTATCACAACAGTGAGATTTAATGTTTGTTTTTTATTTAACTAACTACCACTCAGGGACCTTTTGTACTTGGGGGAAATGAACTCTTTGTACACCAGCCTTAGGTAGGAAAAGCAGGATGGCACCACAAAAAGAAGGTGTGAATAAGACAGAACACGATGTGTGAGGTAGAGAACACTTGTTCCTGTGGAGCCAGTCACAACAGAGAGAAACTGCCTTGAGTCAAAACATCGCTGTGGCCTGTCTGTCTTGTGCACTGCTTATTACAGGTAATGAGGATGTGTAATTTCAGAGTGCTTAGGTTACAGGTCAATGAGGAGCTTGCAAGTTTCCCATAGTTAAGTATGGACAGAAACAGTAACTTGTAGGAGACCGAAAGAATTAGGCAACAAGGAAGAATCTAGTTCAGAGGAATCTTACTAATGATACTAAACTGACTGGTTCTGAGTTAGTCAAGACCTGTAAAAGAAACAGCCTTTTCAATGATGTAAGTGTAATAGGAAGGTTGTGAGCACCTAGATTTACAGCAGCTAGGGAAATCATAAGTTACATTGAGACTAGAGTCCCATGGGAAACTCTACTGTGGTGATACTTCAGTGTTTGTTTGTCAATTGCAATAGATAACTATCTAAGATTTGTGGTTAGCTAATTTCAGTGTTTACCATATTCAATGTATTGCCTATAGTAAATGTAGAGAAGTACAAGGGATCACAGGCAAAACTGGCATGATTTTCATTGCCACCACTTAGAAAAGAAACCTTTCACCATGTCCAGAGTCCATCAAATGAAGCCTTGAACAATTCACTGGTGACTCAGAGGGCAGAGGTAGCACTTCCAGAACAGTACAGATCTCCTCTCTTGTCTACCATCCTTTCTTTCCATTTTAGCAAAACCTTGGAAACACTATCGTTATTCATTCACATTCTCTAGGTCCCTCAAAACAAATGGTTTTGATTGAGTCTGGTCTGGCTTCCATCGCTCCTGGAAAAGCAACTGCCCTTTGTATGAATGGGCTCCTCTCTCTCATTCTTCTCAATCTCACTCCCTTGACTGATACATTGACCATGACTCCCCTCTTAGCCACCTATAACACTTCTTAGAGATCCCCTTCACCTTCCTTCCCTGGCTTCACAGATACTTCTTCAATAGCTCTGCATTTTGGTCACCACCAGTTAAAATATCTTAAGCTGATTGCATGCATTTGATATGAAAATTATGGGGCGAGCAGGAGTATGACACTTAGAGAGAGAATTTTAAATAAGGTCACTTTTCAGACAGCAACTACACTTCAAACCATGTGTCCTAGCTCAGCAGTTCTCAACCAGGGGTCCAGGGCCCCCTGAGGGGATGTGAGCAGATTTCAGGAGTCTGCCAAAATAAACAAGAAAGCCGAAGCCTGAGCCCCATCACCCGGGGCTGAAGCCGAAGCCCGAGCAACTTAGCTTTGTGGCATGGGGCCGATGGCAATTGCCCTGCTTGCTACCCCCTAACACCGGCCCTGGCTTTTAATCTGCTGGATATGCAGAAAAGCAGTTCTTGTGGCACAGGTGAGCCGTAGCTATAGCATGTTGGGGGGCCCTCAGAAAGAAAAAGGTTGAGGACTCCTGTCCTAGCTTATCTCCAAACTTAACACACTGTGTGTGCAGGAAAATACATTCACCCCTAGTGGCTTTAACACACTGGCTACATAGCATATTTTAGTTAGTGATGGGAGAACAACATAGCTTTGTAGGCTTAAATGTACATATGAACTTAATGAGCTAATGATCAAATAACAGAATGCCCTAAATCACTCATTTTCTTATGTTCCACCTTCTTACTCCTCTCTCTTCTGGCCTAAATCCCATTCTGTCCCTTTGTTCTTCTACTCTTTTCTTCATTCTTTCTTTCATTACCGTCTTTTTTAAATTTCCCTCCCGTCCTCCTCCATTCCATCCCAACTTGTCTGTTTTTAAAGGTCTGTGTTACAACCAGATCAACCTAAACTACATCCCAACAAAATGCTGGGGCCCTTTATAACCCTCCACCCTATGAAGGATTTATTGAAATCTTGATTTTCCTGTTGTAATTTCTTTTAATAGAACAGAGATCTCTCTGTCTCCAGATTTGCTCTTGTTTGTGATTTAAACTGAATTAAATAATCTTTTGATAAGTCCTGCACTGACCCCTGGAGGATGGACTGAATGACAAAAGGGGTATTTTACATTACCATCAATGGGAGACTTGTCAGAGTACAGAATGCAGGATGTGTGTGTGTGTGTGTGTGTGTATACGTTGTAAAAGTGGATGCAGTTATAAAAAATGTTGCAGATTAAAAGGAAAGAAAGGAATCCACTATTTGTCATACTATACAGAGTACACAATGTTTATGACCCTACATCAGTTACCAAAGATAAAGTGGATACATTTTGAAAAGGCTGAAAAAAGAAACAAATAAATAAGGAAAGCATACTGAGACTGTGAAAATTATTTATGTAACTTGAATGAGGATGAAATGTCATGATGAATGAAAACTAAGTGAACTTTAGTCTATGAAATGTGCTTTGCTAAATGTTTGCATTGGGTGCAGTAGTAACATAGATGTAGCCATTTTATACCTGATATATGTTTTCTTCTGTTTCAGGCTCACGGATTGGCTCATGTCCAGCCTCAAACACAATGTACTATTACATCAGCCGCCAAAGAGGAAAGGTGAAAGATGAAACAGAAGGGGAAAAAAGGCAGTTTGGAATTCCAGATTAAAAAAACCCCTAAACATAGGCAGGTATTCAGGAAACAGGTTCAAAGTATAGGTTGGCACAAGGATAATCAGTTTGCTGGAAAACACAGAGTTATATTGTTTTCTTTTTAATGAAAGAGCAATTAAACAGACCTGGCTCTTCTTTAATGATCATTAGATCAACTACCTGCTGCTCTCTCACTAGGGATACATTCTGAAGCCCATTTCTGCTCCCATTGAAGTCAATGGGAATTTTGACATGGACTTCAATGGAAGCAGGAACAGGCCTTTGGGCTGAATAATCATCACCCCCCCCCCCAACTCCCCACATTTATTAGTAGTGAATAAGAAAGCTAAACCAAAACTCAGAGAACAGTTTGGTGCTTATGTAACAAGTTTCATAGTAATAGTTTGCTACTGTGCTTTACTTTTTTTAGGTTATGGCTTTACAGTCCTTACTGTTTAGGGTTTTCAAAATAAAACTTGTAGCCAAGTTTTTCAAAAGCGAATAATGATTAAGGGTGTCTCCATTTTGGATGCCTCCTATGGGGCATCTCAAAGGGGCCTGATTTTCACTGAATAGTCACCCTCCAGAAACCAGGCTCCTTTCAGGTGTATTAAGCTGGCATGCAAAAATAGAGGCACCTGATATCTCTAATTACTTTTGAAAATCTTAGCCTCAAATGAAGTAGCATTTTATTAGGCTCCTACATTTCCAGCAAAATGTTAAAGTGAGTATGCACAACAGCTTATTTAATAAGACCCAAACTGCCAACATACCAAATCAGCTGGTTACAGTAGTCAATTCCATTTTTTCCCCTGGTACCAGTAGTGATGCTCTGGGAGAAATTCTGGCCCCAGGGAAGCCAATGGCAAAACTCCCATTGACTTCCATGGGGCCAGGATTTCACCCTCATTGTTGTTTTCAAAATAGTTTCTGTTTTTGTTACGTTTCCCCACAAAGATGTGTCATTATTTTTGGAGAGAAAACTTTCACTTCCGTTTCTAAATGATATTCTAAGCAAATATTTAAGGTTTCCATCCTATATTGTAATATTACATATTAGTATTATTATCTAGAACTTAGTAAATATTCTGCTCTTTATGTTGAGATTGTTCTCCCTCTACTTAAAATGTATCTCAGTAAACTTTTGCAGTACTTTGTTACAAGACTAGCCTGTGTCTGAAAATAGGATAATGTATATCTAACTATTTCTGAAACCTAATCTGTATAGCTTCAGAAATTACCTGGTACACAGGATCTTCTACATCTTCTTCCAAAATTGTCTACAGCAAAGAGGACAGGCGGTAAAAGCAAAGAACATAAACAGCAGAGAAACAAGACTGTATTCGGAAATTAAAGGACAGCAAAGAAATGAGCTCATTGTACGTTAAAAATAGATATTTCTTTTTGAGTTTACAGATAACTGTTGTGTTATTGCACAAGGTAACTTTTAATCAAAGCTGCACCTTGTCTGACTTTATTTAAGACGACACATTCTGAAGCAAAATTCAAACTGTGCTACAATTACCAAACACTCTTAAAACAGATCTACCCAATGTGCTGGCTTCCACTAAAAGTTGTCTCTCTAATTCAAAGGAACACTTTCTATATGAAATGAGTAGATCATTTCATGTTTCTAAGATTTTCATCTTACCCGGTGTTACAATTTCCATCACTGTTTAAGCCTACTTAAATTTCCATAAGCCCCTGGAAATTTCCATTACATGCATCCGACGAAGTGGGCATTCACCCACGAAAGCTTATGCTCCAATACATCTGTTAGTCTTAAAGGTGCCACAGGACTCTCTGTTGCTTTTTACAGATCCAGACTAATACGGCTACCCCTCTGATACTTAAGCCTACTTTGACAGAGTAAGAGCTGTTACCTTTCTATTTGTCCGTGTGGAGCATGATCCTGAAACCCCTACCCCTATCCTCTGACTGGCTAGAAGCTAAGCACACACAGATACCTGGTATACTGCTTGTTCACACTGCTTGTCCTTTTGTGCCTTTTTTTCCATTTCTTCCCTTTGTTTCAATTCATAAATGAGCTGAAACAGGTCTCGCAAGTCCAGAATTACAGGCTCAGCCTATTGAAGCAAAAACAGTAAGTAGGTTTTAATAAAGGAAAGAAGACTTTCCCCCCCGGTCCTGTTGGTAGAACAGTGATATCTACCTTTCAAGAGAAGGAACTTCACACTGAATTAATTTCTACCTTGTTTATATTAGTTTAGAAAATTGCATCTAGGCTAAGGTTCATTTCTATAAAACTAATTATATTTGCAGATTAATGATAATTATACTTATGAGTATTGAAAGTATTGCTTATATTTATTAGTGGTTTCTAATACAATGAAATTAGGGCAGATTTTATGCAAAGTAGCTATTTGTTTTCTATCGTTTTCTGTTTAAATGAGTCTACGAACATACGTAAACATATTTGTATTCCGTCGATGTATCTAGTTTAATTAGAAAGGAAAATAATGACTAATTAGAAGGAATACATCAAGAAAAATTAAGAAGGGTGAAATACATTCCCTTTTTCGCAGACTGGGTCTAGCTAATCCACCATCTAAGAACGTCTATGCAGACACATCTGACAGCACGTATATTGAACAAACAAGCTAGCATGCCCTTTTGAATAGCAACATTAAAGATATAACTTTCAAATTGAATTAAACTATAGAAAATGACAAAGATTTGATACTTACTGCCTGGGCTGTTTTTATTGCCACAAATCTATGATTTCCTTCCTTTCCACACACATATCCAAAGGCTCGGTGGTCTGTGATATCCTTTGCAATGTACGAAATTTCATGAACTGCATGATGGTGCTGTAGTAGCTATTAAAAAAGCAAACCAAAACGCATCTATAAAAACATTCCATTCAAGCTATAATTTAATTCTCAAGACATACATTTTACCTGGGTCTTCGTATGTCTACCAAATTTTAAAAAGCCATTGCGTCAAAATGAATAGCAACGTTTGGACAGTGCAATCAGGCGATCTCTAAACAAGTGTTTTGACCAATTTAAGCACTGTATTCATGTTTTGCATAAACGTTTCTTCCAATACCTTATGGTGAGAGATAATTCAATAAAGTATTCTAGGCACCATAGCAATTAATTTGATGATTAAAATGTATAAAATAACAAGAAGCACCTATCTGATTATCAGGATTCTAGCTCCAAGCCTCTTACTGGATCCATGTGGGAGGACTTCTATGGCAGCACAGAGCCCCACTGACTGCAGGCCTGGGGCCTAAGCCTTGATCTTACTCCCTACGGAATCAATGGCAAAATTCCCATTGACCACAATGGGATAAGGATCCGACTACAAATTGTATTTTTAGAATTGCATTTAGGGCAACATCAGAGCTGCAAAATTTTACTTTTCTCGAAAACTCGTAAATTTTCCCCCCTTCTTGGTTTGAAAAGGGATTGGTTTTTAGCTGACAATGGCCCATTTTTGTCTGAAAAATTTGCAAATTTTGTTGCAAAACTGTGTGTGAAAGGCCTGTTTTTGATGTCACAAGAAAATGTGAAAGCACCCAAATGTATGGCTTTTCATTTTAATTGTGAACATTTCCATACAGCTGTATTTAATGCAGTAAACAAAACTAGCATCCACTTTCAAAGTCCTTCTGAAATAAAAAGGCTTTAAAGCCTTCTATAAAAGGGTATGAGACCCCATAGTCTACCTCAGGTCCAGAGACAATATAGGAGCTACAGAGGCAAATATATAAGCAGCAGTCCCTTTGTCCATGCAAGCGCCAAGCCCATCTTTTGGACCACATAGAGAGGGATGCCATGGAGGAGCTAAAAGTACAGAAGAGTAGCACAAGTGATGACCCTTTAAGCGTAACCAAGAGAAAGCCAAGGTTTGCACCAACTGAATCAACCCCTCTACTACATCCCTGTCTACACCAATTATTGAGTCCGGGCTACCCTGAGTGCAGACGACAACTTTATAGGTCTGTCCTCGAACTATTTACCTAAAATGATCTACTCGTCTGAATTTCTTACTTCCTACATGTCTCTTGCTCTTCACAGTCTAAAAAGAATACCATTCTCAAGTGCAGATAGATCCTCAGAAAGGGCACTACTAGAGGATCACATTCCTGTCCTTTTTGAGAAAAACACATATGGACAATCAGCATGGTACCCTGAGCTCTAAACCATCGGTTATTTTTACATTTTTTTAAATGTGTGAAAACAGAGCGAGTGTGTGTGTGTGCGTGTGTGTGTGTGTGTGAGAGAGAGAGAGAGAGAGAGAGAGGTGCCCGTGATGAGACTGCTGTAGAAATGGGGGATGAAATGAAAATGGAAATGTAACACAAAGACGAGAGATGACTGCTTATAAGACAAAAGACTGGATATTTTTTCATTTTGTTAGTAAGTGTCACACAACTTTTGGGGTTCAAGATGGCTCATATTCAGGCTAACGGGTGTACTGCCACTGACTGCAATTTGAACAAGGCTGGGTTTTAGATGGCTATTGTTCATGAGAGATGCCGCTTTCCCAATGTGTTAATGATGTAAAATTGATGATGTGATCGCATTTATATAATATAGGGACATTGATTTATTTGTTTATTCTCAGCTCAAGTTGCATGCTCTCTGTAATAGTGAAATTAAATGTTCCCCTTTCTCTAAATGCTGTATATTATAGAGAATGTTATCTCAGGATCCTGTTAAATAAAAGTTTTTTATTGATTGCCATGCAGCATTTTGCACTGAAATTAAACTCCTTCCTGGTAGAATTAGATTTGAAGATTATTCTGAGGTGGGAAAATATCATCTACAATGCAAGACACCAGATGGAGACATTTTAATTTATTTGGGAACCCTTATTAATGGTTCTAAAATCATTACATTTGTAATTGCTGATGATACCATTTGCAAGGCAATATTGAGCATCAAAATAAGTAAAGGTGTCTGCAGCATTATCCTTTTGCATATTTTACTTTATGGAGTGTTTAGAAAGATTGCTCTCAAGAAGTTTTCATTAGTCAGAGAGAGATTCTGAGCACAAGTGTCATAATTTTCTCCATCCTTGAAACACATACATAAAATGAAATATTGTCCATACAGTTGTACTGAAATGCAGATGTACATAATCATTTGAAATTATTCTTTTGCAGACTTAGGTGAGTCTAGGAGTTGCTTGATATATATATTTTTAATTTTCAACTAACTTAATCTAAAGTTTTGACTTAATAAGTATGTGCCTGATTCTTCTCTACCATACACTTACACTGTTGTAGTAAATTGGAAGTAACCCCATTGCAGTCAATGGAGTAAAATCTGTGTAAAACTGGAGATCAGAATCATGTCCTGTAGCTAATCAGATATGGTAGCATTTAACCCCCACTTTGCACTGGTGTAAAGGTGTGAAGTGAGGGAGAATATGGCCAGATGTCTCTCCCTTCTCAAGCAGAAATTAGAAATGGCCAGCTAAACAAAAGAACAGTCTACAAATACACGATCTTTATAGATTGTGATTAATTTATGAGAATCCACCATATGCTAATTTAATCTGGCCTTTAAAATATGACTGATCAGTGCAAATGCCTTCTTTATCCAATCAGTTTTACAACACTGCTTGCATTCAGTTACTACTCTTAAAACACTGTTCCATAGCCCCAAATGGAAATGAAACAAAACTGTTGTTCCACACTCAAGTACTCATGTTCACATTCTAATTTTCTCTCTCTCTCTCCTTCTCTTTTATCCTCAGGACTTTTATTATGACATAATCTTGCCTCTAGAGGAAGATGGGCATATGAAATAAGTATTTCATAACTCACTCAAGGGGTGTTCATGAGACCCCCTTTTGTTATTCTCCCTGATACATTCCTTCAGCTATTATTTGACAATTTTACAATATCTTTGCTGAGTGCTTCTATGAGCCATTTACCAATTTATAAATGAAGTATCAAATTGTTTGGAGGGCTGCAGTATGACAGAACAAATTACAGCGACGGCTTAATTTGTATTATGGTTCAATACAGTCAATTAAATACTGCATAGATTAGAAAGTAATTTGCTTTACCATTTAAGCTTTAGTTGTTTAAAAAAAATCCATTATACACACCGTCCATATTATTGTTCGAGTCTGTATGCAACACTATCCGCAGTACAAAATATACAGGATTCAAAAATATGATAAAAGCATGAATAAGCCGTGACACACAGGATAACAAAGAGTGGTATACACGACTGCTCAGTACTATAACTGTTCACAGTACTTGTTGTCTCGCGAGGCTAAGGGAAATGGGACCTCATTCGTAGAGCTCTTTTGTTTTACTTACATTTTTGGATGGATTTTTTGAATTTGAAGTTTAGGAGATAAAGTGGCAAATAGTACTTTAAAAAGCCAGAGAGCTCAGTCACTGCCACCATACAAAGCAGGCCTAACCTTGACCTATGCACAAAGATCAAGTAAACAGGCTTTGCACAGGGGGTCTCTGAAAAGGTTTGGCAGGTGGAGTGGTGGGCGGAATCCTCACAAACTATGGTGTAGCAATGGGCCTGTTTTGTCTTTGCTACTGCAATTTAAGGGTCGCTGTAACGTCCACTGACCCTGCGCTCCCCTTCCACCGACACTTTTGGCCTCTGTACCTACCTAGTCATTATTTTCTCTCCTTTTTCCAGTCTGTCCTCTGCTTCTGCTGCTCTCCCATGTTGCCTCCCCCCCCCCATTGAATTGATTGAGCTACCTCAGAGATCGGTAGCATTTCTAATTTCCCTCAGGCTGCTTAGAGCCTGTCATAAATTCGTTCACCCTTGATCCTCATCTTGCCCCTTGGATTTCCATGCTCTGGCCTCCAGTTCTCCTGAATCAATTAAGCACTTAGAGAGGCCAGCAATCATGTCAAATATGAGAATTAGGTGGTGTTACAAAGTCACGGCCATACTATCACTATTCCCTTTTTAATGAGGCAGCCTATTTATTGAGGCCCGGGGCACAGTAGTAAGACCCCCAGTGAGAATTATCCTGCAGGGAAAGCAGCAAAACATCTTGTAAATGGTGCCCAGTCAATAGCAGAAATCACAAATAAAACAATGTTATATTTATATGGACAAGCTCCACAGGGATTTCATATAAAGAACCTTTCATATTAATTAATTTACCCCATGAGCCTGCTTTCAGATCAGTGGTATCAACTGACTCAAATTTATGTGCCACTACTGCCACTATTAGCTTTGTGAGAGGAGTGACAGACCTTGTCCACCCATTCTCTATATTTCTATTCCTATTTGATATCTGTCAAGAGCATTTCCTACTCTATTTGAGCCAACAATCTTTTAAGGCTTTGCAAGAACTACTTCTGCATGCTGGGTGAAATTCACTTGTGCATGGAAGACAGACATAATGAGGTCCTCTGCACCACTCAGGCTTTATTATAGTTATCTATCTATACATTCTAATTACAACATATATACAATACTAAAAAGTACTTTAAGGGCCACAGTTTCAGAAATGCTCAGAACCTGCAGCTGCCATAAATTTTGACTCAAGTTGTGAGTGCTTAGCACTTCAGAAAATCTAGCCATAAATGTCTAGGGCGCTTACTAAATAAGAATCCCAGAATTTGAACTCATGGAGTAAAATTATTGTATCACCTTAGTAACAGGCTTGGTGAGCTGGAAATGTTTTACCACAATTTACGGCAACATGTTAAATTAACACAATGTGGCACTGCAGTGATTCTGAGATTAGGTCTTGTCTCCATTGAAGACAAGGGAGGTACAGAAGTTTGGCTAGTTTCTCTTTTAGATGTGAGACTTTGTTACAAATATTCATGCTGCTTGGTGCGTGCACACACACACACACACAC